AATAAATACGGAGAAAAGGTGAAAATTTAGGGTTCTCACACTCTCTCCCCCTTAAAAGAATTTCGTCCTCGAAATTCCTTATCATTGCCTTCTCTAATATACCATACTTAACTAACCAATCCGTATCTATTCACTGGCCAATATACCATAGTTTCTTCTTCCTTCCTAAGTTGTAATTCTTATACTCCATGCTAGTAGGCAATCGGTGGAATACTAGAATCTTACCTTCCACGTCTTCATACGGGTCTGAGACTTGACGCTGCTCTAGGGTATACACCTGAGCCGACACCTTTGGTCCATTCTTTTTTCCCTTTGACTGGTCAAGGTTGGTCGTGGGTGGCTGTTGACTCCTATTTCCTTCTCGAGAGCGGCCTGGGCAATTTGCAATTTGATGATTTGCGCTCCCACAACGCAGACATTTTCTTCCTTTCTTCCAGCAAACATCCTCCGTGTGATGCGGTTTCCCACAGTACTCACAAGGACCGCGGAAAGCAGAAACTGAGCCTTTTTGTGAGGCACCACTCGACACCCCTGGCAGTTGTACTCCCCCGTTGCCCCTTCCAATCTTAGGAGGCGTGCTTTTATCTCCATGCTCCGAACTGCTTCCTGGAACCCCCTTTTCTTGGCTTGAAAATTCTTAACTTGTAACCTCGCGCCTTCAACTCGTTGAGCTTTCTCCACTGCATCACTAAAAGTATTGAATTGGGCCACGGCCAAGTCCTTCTGAATCTCAACGTTTAGCCCTTGGACGAAACGCCTTATCCGCCTCTGCTCAGTCACGATTAATTCGGGAGCGAACTTAGACAACCTGGTAAACTGGCTTTCATACTCGGCAACGGTTTGAGTTCCCTGGCGGAGCCTAATGAACTCATCTTCTTTCTTCTCCTGGATCAAAGGTGGAAAATACTTCGTATTGAATTCTCTCATGAAGTTCACCCACGTCCTTGGGGTTTGCTCTCTTTCCCATTTCAGCCTTACGATATTCCACCAAGAACGTGCTGCTCCTTCCAGTTGGAAGACAGCAAATGTGACCTGCCGCTCCTCGGTATAGTGTAGCGCGGCAAATATATCGATCATCTTCTCTAGCCACCTCTCGGCCACGTCGAGGTCTGGTTCTCCAAGAAATTGCGGTGGGGAGAACTTCTGAAATCGTTCGAGGGCTTTATCCTCACCCTCTATATGATTACCAGGGTTGCCCGGCTGATTAACAGGATTTTGACCCTGATGTCCCACTACATGGGCCAATAAATCTGTCATACGTTGAATGGCGGTAGCTACCTGAACATTAGGATCTGCTCGAGGTTCAGGGTTAGGTTCAGGCGTTGGTTCTCGATTTGCCCCTCCAATCGGGGTTTGCCTACGGCCGCGCCCTCGGCCTCGTCCTCTATGTGTACTCTCCATTGGTTTAACCACTCTAGGGTCGAAACGCAAATAAAATAGTAAAGCAAATGCAAGTAGGTACGAGTACAAAAGTAGATACAACTCAAAAGGGCATATATATAGAACACAACTTGATCCAACAAGTCACACAGTATCAGTCAGATGTAAGCAAAAGCAAGTCCAGGAAAGTAACGAGGTCAAAATCCAAAATGCACTAGACAAACTAGGCCCAAAAGTATAAAACATCAAGCTAAAAGCTTTTCCATGCGTTCGATCCATAACCTACAGGGATATATAATTTATATCTTAATCCGGGCTAATCACACTTCATGAATTCTTAATATCACACAAAGTTCCGCAATCAAATTCCCAATTGGCCTAAGCGATCACTAACCTAGGCTCTCATCTATTTAGTAGTCAGGTACAAGAATCCCAAAATAAGATAAGTTCACCACTCGGGCTGGCCAGGCCCAAGAGTAATTCATCTACAATCGAGATTCCCACCCGACCTACAGATCTACTATCTCCAAGCACCATAATAAAAGTTTAATACTTATAACACTTCACGATCCATGACTTATGCTCAAAGAGCACTTAAACATTCATAAATATTCACAAAATCGGGACCATAACGCCACTTGGCCCAAGCTCACTCAGCGCAGAGACCACGCGAAACCTGGCTCTGATACCACTTGTAACGGCCCCACCTCCCCCTAAGGCGAACCAGAGGGTTCGGCGGACCGCCTGCCCAGCTCTTGCCGGGACTCAGTCGATCACTACACTCACCGCTCTAAAGTACGCGCGACAGAAACCAAAGGAAACGAATAATACAGAAACCACCAAGCTATAAGGTTGAAAGTCCCTGCCACAATTTGTTTCTCTACCTTTTCACGCTTGAGTATACTCGTCCGAAACCTCCGTAGTTTCAATAACTCCAGGCAACCATAACGAACGAACACGTTGGAGAGGGGTAACACGTTTACATAAGCAAACACTTTTAGATATATACATGATCACAATGTTACAAATCAAAAGGGAGTTGTTTGATCAAAATACATTCAAGGTTTCCATCTATTGAGGAGCTATACAAAAGAATATATATAACCAGCTCAACTCATGCTTCCAAAAGATTTTCCTGTAAGGAAAACAAGGATAACAAAACGGGGTGAGCTATAAGCCCAATGAGGTACCAAAATAAAGAGATACAGTCAAGGACCAAGTAATTCCATGCTCAATTAATCACATACATGTACCCAACAGGAAAATAAGTAAACAATCCAGACAGAAAGGATACAGATGGCTCTCAGGAGCCAATTTCCCGTTGCAGTACTTGATCCGACTATGTTGACCCTCCGTCAACTTTCAAATAAGAAAAACCCGTCCAGTAGAACACCGCTTTAACACCAAGTCCCGTCCACCATTCATACCCCTTACCGGGCCCGAACGCCGAATAGAAACAGGAATGGTAATACTCGAGTATACCGGGATTCAAGAGTCTCAATACTCAAGAATTCCATAAAGCAGGCACCCACGGATTGTCAATTTCCTCGACCAAGCCCTTGCATGGCTCGATTTAATTAACTCCCCATGAGGTTGAGCTCAGGTTTAATAAGGAAGCCGTTGGACGCATCCAAACGACATTATAACAAGTGCAGGTAACAGGTTCAAGTTCATAACATGTACAAGTGATAGATTGCAGTTTATACCACACAGGCAAGAGTACGAGTGTGATAAATTACACCCTCGTCTCAATCACACTAAACAGGATTCACAGTCATTTATGTCATAGATTTCACGTACAGATAGCTCAAGTAGCAACAATACAAGGGGTGGTACACTCACCAGATCAAACAAGAATAGTTTCAAAAGTTTCCTTGCCAAGTGTGATTTTACTCGCTGGCACCTCCTAGAACAAGCAAGGCAAACACTTACGACTTGACATTACAATTGGAATCAAAGAAATTTGCAAGTAACTCGGTTACAAGTCCTGTGCGTAACCACATGAACCATTAATGCAAAGGCAATGCGACTTCGGAATGAAAAGGAGTAACAATCGGTCTTAAAGGCATGAACAATCTCAATACTCTATCTATCATAAGTAACCAACTCCAAAGTTGAAGTAGAAAATGAATGTACAATCATTACTCGGAAAACAGGATTTTTCAGTTTTGCATATGCCTCTAAGAAAAATTGTATCTCAAGTTTTGTAAGTCCAAAATTGATAAAATTTACACCGTTGGAAACTACATTCAAAGGGTTATAATTTTCCAGAAAACACCATCTTAAGATTCAGAACGCAAGTCGGTTAAATTTAAGTCGCAAGGTACTGCTTTAACCATCACAAGACAGAACAGGTTACAATTCCAGTTAACTTTGAAAAATCACTATAAATTGTACGGACAGAAACAGGATCTGAAATTCACACGGTCTATAGCCCTATGTGTCTAGTTTAAAACGCAACAAACGGAACTCAATTCCGATATTCCTACATCAAGATATAGTAATTTTCCTAAGACTGCGCAGGAGCTCTTACGAAAATTTTGACAGCACTTCCCTTAGTTTTTCCTTACTTTTCCAACCAAACCTCAATACCAATTCACTCCTCAATTCACCACAATCTTTCCCACAAACAACAAGCTATAAAACACCTTGAATTAAGACCACAATATCCTTCAAATGCAACCACATAAAGGAGCAAAATATAAACCCTAAAACTGGAAATTTTGCTACAAAAGCTGAAATTCTTTGAAGACAAGTAAAACCAACATTCTCAAGCTCAAAATTACTCTTATCAAATACCAAATCATGCCCAAACATTAATCATCATAAAACAGAAATTTTTACCTATAAAACAGAAATTTGCTATACCTCTACTTAAACCCATAAACTTAGCTACAAAACTACACATGTAACATTTTTAATCCACTACTTTGCAAGCATAAGAAGTACAAGGAAATTTCTAGGTAGTTTACCTTGAAACTTAAGGAGAAATGATAGCTTAGAGCTCCAACTCCAAAACTCACTCCACCAATCCCTTAAACCCTTCTTAGCTAGCACTTGTATGGAAGGAATTTAAAATCTAATGGTGAAAACTCAAGATCAAAGAGAAAATTGAAACTAGAATTGGAAGAGCTTTGCTTGGTCTTTTCTCTCAAAAGCCACGGCTGAGCAAGGAAGAAATGAAGATATTTTTGGACCAAAACAAGATAAGAAGGAAGAAAAATCGCAGGTCAAAGCTGCTGTCCCATCAGAATCCAGCCAGAATCTGGCCGGATATCCGGCCGGATTCCTGGCCGGATATGAGGCAGAAGCTAAAACGTTTTTTTTTTCAAAAAAGCAAGGCAATCCGGCCAGCTATCTGGCCAGATTCCCGGCCGGATTCAGCCCCTGTCTTTGTTTTCAAAATTTTTCTTTTCCAAACTCACACGCCGCATTCGTCCGTACTTCCCACAGATATATATATATACTTTCACACAAAAACACTTAGTGCAACCAAACGCACGTTCATATGTATGAAATGAAACCCTCCTTAGTGATAGGTAACAAATTCTTTTCATTTACAAAAATAAGAGAAATAAGCATCCAAATAAATACGGAGAAAAGGTAAAAATTTAGGGTTCTCACAGAGGAAAACCATTTGGAGTGTGGCTATTCATGAAGTCCTCTAAAATTGCTTGCTGCGAATTATCTAAACATTTATCTCTGCTTAAATAGTCAAATGCGGTTCCAGGAAATTTCTGTATCAATTTTTCATCGATCTGATCTACAAAATCATTTTTTGTAGTTAAAATTGCTCTATTAATTAATGAGTATGTATTTTCAGAAAATATGTTGAAGTTTGGATAGACAGTTGTAATCAATTGATTTATGGATTCTGCTTCATTTGTATAGCGAAGAAGCAATGCTTGAGAGATGTGAATACTTTCATTTTTAACTGTGTTTTCTGTTCCATTACCTATACGAAGAAGGTACTTGCTAAAATCAGGATCTAATCTTGCTCTCATGTTTTCCTTCAATTTTAATTTCTGTAGATGAGGCCAAATATAAGATTTTACAAGGCTAGCTTCGATAAAGTCTGATTTTGACCCTTTTACAACTACCGACAGAACTTGCCTAAAATCACCACCAAATACCATCACTTTTGACCCAAATAATTCAGAGTTATCCATTAGGTCTCTAAATAAACGATCTACTCCCTCAATTCCTGCTCTGTGTGTCATGGGCGCTTCATCCCAAATGATCAATTTGGCTTGTTGTAATAACTTTGCCAATGAGCTTTGTTTGTTTACTTTGCACATGTTGTTAGGATTCATGTCTAAAGGAATTTTAAATCGTGAGTGGGCTGTTCTACCTCCAGGTAAGATAGAAGTAGCTACTCCACAAGAGGCCGTTGCCAAAGCTATACATCCCTTTGATCTAACTGCAGCTAGTAGTGCACGGTACAAGAATGTTTTCCCTGTTCCCCCAGGCCCATCAATAAAGAAACTCCCTTTGCTGTGTACAAAAACAGCATCTATGATAGTATCAAATGCTACTTTTTGATCTTCATTTAATTTAGAGATAGCAGCAATATCTTCTTCATTGACTTTAAAGTTTAGCTCAGAATTTGTGTCTCTTGTACCTCTATCCATTTCATCAAACTTTAAGATTCATGGTACTAATCCATACATATTAATGTTTTTTCCCATTGATTCTAAGAACTTGCTAATCTCATAGAGAACTTTATGTTGGACTTGATCGTTTGACAAATTCAAAGTTCTATTGAAATCTTCTGACATAGATTCTTTGAATTTTAACCATAAACTTCTTGGATCAGCAGGAGTGAAGTAAACTAATAGGGTAGCAAATAGTCTTCTAAAGCTATATGGCATGTGGTATAAAGCTGCTTCTTCTAGGCACTGCTCTTGAGGGTTATTGGATTCAAATAATCCTCTCATTATTGCTGCTTCTCTAAAGGTATTAACATAAACACCATCGACAGTTTTCAGGTCATCAAATGATGTTGGCCCTTTTACATTCAATAACAATAATCTTAAGAAGTACCTCTCACCCTCACTTGGATTTGCTGTAACAATTCGGCCTATTGAACCTCTTTGTTGCCTAATATCCCATATACGTTTACTAGGTTTCCACACAAAATGTTCAGGAAATTCTTTGTATGTGCATTTCAATGTTTTGGCTCTCTCATCAGTAGCATTCATATGGAAAAATTCAGTTAGCATACTTTTCTTAGCAAATTTACTTTTCAAAAGATCTCTAAGATCAGCATCATCTTTGAAGGTCAGAGATTGGTAATTTTCAAGATGTAGCTGAAGGTTAATGACAGCAGGATGTGTTTCAAATAAGGGAAATCTGTAAATTCGCCAAATGGCTTCAATAGGAGAAACCCATCTTGCTGATTGGTACTCCTTAATTTCATCTATCTCTTTAGATCTATCATCTGAATTCACAGCAAAGTGTATTTTATCATGTCTCTTATATATGTACTTATAAGTATACTTGACTACCTTTATTGTTGAGCAAATTTCAACATTCATATGGCAACTGAATTTTGCTAACAAGTAAGGATTATATGGAACCACCCATCTATTATCCAATTCATGGCCTCGAACTTTTACCTTTTCTCCATTACTCCTCCGCCTATATGTTGGATAAGAATTTTCAGATTGTGTAGTCTTTTGTGCCCACTGTTTAGGATAATGATTTTTGCATTTTTTAACTGTTGTACCTTGCATACACACATTATCTGCATTTTTGTCGCCACAAGGACCATGCATCATGTGCTTGCGAACCATTTTAAACAAGTGTGGTTGCTCTTTTTTGTCAAGAATCTCAGCAGAAACTATGTGATCATAGGATTCCGTTGAATATAATTTAGACGCTGGGTGTAAAATTATTAAGAAATGTGCATGCGGCAACCCACGTTTTTGGAATTCAACAACATAGGTGTAAGCAGCTACTTTACCCAATACCTCTTTTTTAAACAACTCTTCTTTTAAAATTTCTAATTTGGCATGAAAAACTCTAGCAGAAAGATCAACACGGTTTTGAGACTCATCAGTGGGCAGTAAGTTTTCTTTGATTTCTGGCCATGATGGGTTACAAGTCATTGTTAAAAAAATGTCAGGTTTTCCGAATTTTTGAACTAAGGCCATAGCATCAACATACCTTCTTTTCATATCACGAGGACCTCCTATAAAAGATGCTGGCAAAATTACTCGTTGCCCTACTTTTGAACCTCTACATTGGCCCTCAACTACAGAATCCATGACACCCTGTAATTGCTCAGTCCTAATTTGTTGTTGCCTATGCCGGAAAAAATCAAGCCTTTGACTCTCAATTTTTACGTACATGTCCACTACATACTGTTGACATGCACGGGCAGTATTAAGAATACTTGGTTTATTTTTCTCCCTCATCTGGAACCTATATGCATAGTATTCACGCATGGACACATTCTCCTTTGAATTCTCAAAGTTCTTGAAAGCTGTTTCAAAAAATTTTAAGCTTCAATTTACATTTGGTAAACTAAAATTGTATTCATAAAATTTGTATTATATTTAAAAACAACTAACCTTTCTCTTCTGATTCTATTATATCTTCGGCAGATCTGAAGCTTGTTAAAGTTGCAGTCTGTTGATGATTTCTAACTGACTTTTTCCTTTTTTTTGGATTACCAGTGCCAGATCTCTGAATTCCAGGTTGCCACCCTGTTTCACCAAAGGGAAATAGAAGTGGATACTGCAATGGATCATAATAGCCATAGTAATATTGAATTCTACGGCTTTGACCCTCTTTTGTGTATACTTGAATGTGTCAGCATAGCTGTCCCATGAGTTTTCACCTTCAACCCACAGTGCAGCTACTTGGGATACTGTTGGCTTGTTAAAGACTCGCTGATCAGTTTGACAGTAAGATTTCAAGACTATTTGATAATTGTCCAAGTCTGGAACATGTCTCAGGCTTCGGAAAAAGCAAGCATACGGGTTACTTTTCATGAGTTCCATGAGTTTCACCACTATGCTCTCAGTTAGTTTTGTTGAAAAAGCCAATCGATTTGCGATTTCATGTTCAGTATCATGAAAGTATAACTGCAAAAACATTCCTGATCCTTCATGGGGGATCAATTGATTTATAAAATGATACGTTTGGCCCTGAATTTTAAAAGTATATATTCCATTTCTTCTTTGGCAAAGCGATTTATCATAGTTAACTCCAAAAGAGGTGAAAACGAACATACTATTGTATGTTCTTACATAGGTTCTGAAACAAATTGCTTCTTCAGTTTCACCAGTAAATAGCTCTATTAATATGTCTGGCATTTTATTCTCTTCTAAGACTACTTCTCCATCAGAGCAACAAAAGTTTGCAGACTCAGAATAAAATTTTTTGGCTCCGCAGTATTTGCAATTCTATTGCTCTGGTAATCTATCAGCTTCCAAGCTTATCGAAGATAATGCCTCAATTCCCTTCACTACCCTTTTACGTTGTTTGCGTACCTTGTTTTGTTTCCTAATCAAAGCATTTTGGTCTTCCCCACAGCTTTTAACTACATGAATGGATCAAAAATGTCATTAATATGATTTTTAATATGTTGAAGTTTTACAACTTGTTTTATTATGTAGAAGGAATAAACCTGAATTCTGTTTACCCCTTCGTCTTGACATATGTTTAGCTTCTCTTGAACGTTTAGGTTCAACTGAATATCCTATATAAGCAATGGTGATCAGTTTTTGTCAATGGGATCGCCACTGTTATATGATCAACAATGGTGATCAGTTTTTTAGCTAACCTCTTAGATCCTCCATTGCTTCAGAAAGCAAGCAATAGCAGGAGTTGCAGATGGGTGGTTGGTCTACAACATTGGCAAATAAGGTGATCACTTTTAGCTAGTAGCTACGGAGAAATCTCGGTTGGTAATGTTTGTTTCAAGAGGAAAGAATAATTAAACTTAGCAGTAGGAAACAATAACTAAACCTGAAGATTGGGTCGCTTTAGAATGCTGACACTTTTTTATCCGTCGAGTTGTAGAAGTAGAACATATTTTGTAGGTCTCTTTTAATATATCTTTGGATATTTGTGAATTATAATATATCTTTGGATATTTGTGACTTAAAAATGTTTTTAATTCTATGTGGTTCACCTTTGTGATATGTTGAAAATTCTGAAACATGCTCCTTCTGCCTTCGATTACCTTCAACTTTGTCTCCAGGAACTAAATAGATTGTGAAAATGTTATGCCTATATGACATCACAATAGCCTAAAGGAAAAGGGATTACAAAAATAACCTGCCTCACTGTGGTGCTTATGACCACAGTTAGGTTCCTGAATGCGAAAAGCCTGCTGTAACAGTTGCTTATTACTGGTGTGCTCATCATCTGAGCATAGAGAGAGAGGCAAAGGTAGTTTAGTTTACAGCCATACTTGTTGGGAGTTATTATAGAGGTAGATGGGCCTTTAAATATTCACTATAATGTAGTATATACAGCGCGATACCTTTTCCTCTCAATACTAACGAGGAGGTAAAAGTAGTCTTTGTCTTTTCTTTTTTACTTTTATAGGTATCACGGCATTTTTTCCGTTCTATTTCTTTCTGCTCCTCAGTTAAAGAGGCATATCTTTGTCTAGCCTTTTCGTTACGTCGAGCTTTTCGGTCAAACTTTAGAAGGAGCAATGTTTCGATTCATAGTGGGTTGCTATGGAAATGTTGGGTCAACTAACAAAAGTGGTTGGAACTTGAGGTTTACACAAATTTGAACAATTCGAATGAATCCTAAGACACAAGAATGAATCCTAAGACACAAGCTTATTTGGAGTATACTTCAGCACAGATTCAGCCTACAAATATTAACCACTTTTTGCTACCGAATGAACTGCAGCTGCTATAAAATAAGGAACAACTACAATACTAATTGCTTATGCTTTCATGTACATACACGTGTCATGAAATCCATGAGCGATGAAAGAGCAAAAGATTTTTTAACTGCACTACATAATACTCAAATCCAATGTAAACAAAAGAAGATTGCCAAACAAGCATAAATTGTAAACTAACGGAGATTTCCAAGTAGGCATGAATTCAATGGTAAACACAGTCCACAAAATCATTTTTAAAAAAAACAAAACAGCTATTCCTGCAAGTTTGGAGAAAGGTAGAAAATGAACTAACCTTTTTTAAAAAGAAACCGATAAAACTTGATCTTGATGAGAAGAGTCTGAGCCTGCATGACAAAAAAAATAATTAACTTGGTATGAAAGGCCGGAATTAATAAACGGACGAAGGATGCAGATGAGAACAAACACATCAGGTCTAAGAAAGCATGGTAATTCTTTTTTGAAAGCAAAAGCCAAAATCAAATGGGCAAAATTACTTGTATACGAATCTCACCTCAATTCCAAGGAAATTCCATATCGGCGACCAAACATATCACAGAGAAACAGCTATATGTAGCAACAGATTTAACACCAACCAATCATAGAAGGAAAGGAGCGAAACGGAAGAAGATGGAAGGCTATGCGTGTAACAAATGCGGAAGGAGGAGGAAAGCCATAGGTGGCAAACGTGGGGGAGCTAATACTTCATCTGGTGGCTGTTTAATAATTAGAGCCATAAAGAAGAATAAAGTGGAAGAAGAAGCAAATAAGCGGAAACCAGACCTAATCGGCCAAGGAATTAAACAAGCCTAACATAATAAGAGGAACAGAAACTGACATGGGTGGCAAACTTGGAGAAATTAAGAGACCGTTTAACAGAGGGAGATGAAACTGGTGGAAGTTGAATTAAAAACCTCTCATAATAGTCATCAATAATCAAAGGGGCTTCGGTGAAATGTGCAAAGGGGCAAATGAGAAAACGGTTTTGGGTGGCAGAGGAAGAGAAACAGGGGTTTGACCATTTAATGTTAGATTTGATTACTGAGGTCCCTTATTCAGTGCCTACTCAGTGCTGTGTAATTAAGCTTAGCACCGGCCACTTCAGGATTGGCATACGAAGGATTATACTGGTGCATTTTACTTAGGAATTAGTATTCTAGATATGGGCTCATTTGGTAATATGAGCCCCTAAGCAATTAAGAAAGGGACGCATCAAAATAATGGGTCATAACGTTGCAAGCATCATGGATAAAATAGTCATATTAACACCAACCATTGCATTAACAACTTGTACAATATCAGCTCAACATCTCTACCTTGTCCACTCAATTGACAACAATATCCAAAAAGTACGGTTGAAACTTAAAGCTGAAATGAACAACGAAGATTTTCTTATATATATATAGGATATAAATTATCGAGACTTGAACGATGTGACTACTAAGCACAAATACTCCGTAGTTTCACATAAACGGAAATTTTGATCAATGGCCAAGAGCTGTGAATAAGGAATTTAAAGTAGAACTATTATCAGTTGAGGATCCTAGAAACTGATGTGGTTAACACCGCTTTCAATTTAAGACAAGGACACTTTGAATTTTCAGTACACCCTTCGAGTTGACTGAAGTACTAGTAGCATTTATGGGTCTAATGCATCGGAGTTAAATCATATTTGGATGAATCGGTGGTGGCATTTGTTGATGATATATCGGTATACTCTAAGGTTTGAGAAGATCACGAAAGATACCTGATAATAGTTTGCAAACCTCTAGAGAGCATCAACTTTCGTTAAGTTCAATAGATGTGAGTTTGAATGGAAGAAGTAACCTTTCTAGGTACACAACCTCTAAGGAAGGAATTGTTATTGACTCAACTAAAGTGGAAACTGTTTAAGAGGAAACGACCAAAGAATCCTACCAAAATTTAGAATTCTTAGAGTTAGTCGAATACTACCTTTGGTTTATCAAGGATTTACAAGAGTGCAAGACTTGACAAGTTAATTGAGATTCTAGATATGAGGAAAATTTTGAAAGTGGAAAATGTTTAATCGATGCACCAAGGCAGTTTTGTGATTTATATAAATGTTTTAAATGATGGTTTAGAATGTATACCACTGATACATCATGAATTGATTTTGTATACCTCTGGAAAGTTAAAGTATCACGAGAGAAAGTAACTCACTCATGATTTGGAGTTAGTGGCTGTAATAATAACATTAAAGAAGTGAGGACATTACTTATATGAGATAGACATGAGGCCGATTAAGTTGCCCTATGACTCGGAAGTTAAAATGTTATTAAAAAAAAATATATTTAAATTAAGTTTTGATTACTAATTGAATGAACAGAAATTGTGAAGTATAAGTTGGAAAACGCAAGTTAGTGATTGGCTTGACAGGCTTAACCCTTAAGAGAATGATATTGTTTTAGGTGTGAATTTCGGGGCCGTTTAAGGAGGGGAGGATGTAAGAACCCGAAAATTTTCTTATTTATCGAATATTACAAGTTTACTTAAATATTTATTTATTCATTTTCTCCAAATTATTTATTTCGACCATTTAAAATCCAATTATATGGATTACACATCTTTTATATTTTTAAAGTGTTTTGTTGAAAAATTTATTTTTCAAAAAAATTCGTTTAGTTCGGAACAACGAGTACACGCCTTTCGAGGCTATACTTGAATCAGGAGTGTATTAATATTAGAGAGTTAAGAATGATCAATGGTAGATTAAAAAAGGTTCGTTGAAGAATTAATACTCGACTCATGTAACGACTCACAAAAATTTACCTATTTTAAACTCCAAATTCTAACTCATTTAATTATTTATCTGGCCAATTGCCCCAAATATTATTTTCTAACCTTTTTAGACCTAATTAAAAGGATCTATGGCTTAGTTATATTTTTAAAGTGACTCGTTTCAAAATTTAATTTCTAAAGACTCGTTAAGTGAAAATAGTGAATACGCGATTGGAGTAAATAATTGAATCGAGAATACAATAAGTTTGAAAAAATTGGAGACATGTACATTAGTCCTAAATTAGGTATTTTATGTTTAAGTGCTCAAATATTAGTTAGTAATATTATCGTTATAAGAATTTCTTAGAGATTTCGCGTTATCGCGCTTAAATTGGAAATACGCGTTTTTACGCGCGCTATTAATTGAAGGACCTTAGACGTTTACTTTGGGACTACTAAGAGTGAATAATGATGATATGAAAGTAAATACATTATAGGTTTAGTGCACTAGTGTAACAAATTTAAGAGGAATCGAGCACAAAACGTGCGCCTACGCGCACTATTGGAGAGTTGACTTTTGTACACTTGAAACCCACAATTGCTAAGCTTCTCACGGAAGCCTCACCATCAGCAAACACTCTCCATTTCTTACCTCAACACAACCGAACAGCAAGGGAAAGAAGAAGACCAAAAAGCTTCTTCATCTTTTCACTCCATCTTGCACCAAACTACTTCAAATCTCCACCAAATTATCCCAAATTTTAACTACACTTTGCTAAACACTTGGAGAGCAACTCAAGCTAGAAAAAGAGGCTCAGCTCCATGGTTTTCTTGAGCTTATTTGGCCCGAAAATTTCTGTTTGAGTCATCCAAAGAGATAATGAACGATCAACCTCTTAATTCTTGATTTATGGAAGTTAGATTACACTCATGAGTTCTTGGATTCTCATGGGTAGGTTTAAATTGTTGTAAAATTGGTGAGTGGGATCCATGAACTCCCACTTTGATGGAAAGACTGATTTGATGATTGATGATGAAATTAATGGTGGTTTAGTGCTTATATTAGTGGATTAATATTGAATTGTTGGTAGAAAATCAAACGAGGTGCTTGGAGCAAAAGTGACCATTTTACCCCTGTCTTGTCCGCCCACTTTTGTGCACAATTGAGAGGTTATAATGGCTTGATTATGTTGTTTACATGTTATATTAGTTGTGTAAAAAGTTTCATTGAAAAATAACTTGATTTGGTCACCCAAATGTTGGATTTACGACAGCTTAGCAATCTGGAAATGTATCCCGTATTCACCCAGACAGTGTATTTGTTTCGGTTATATCTTTTTACTCCGATGTCGGAATCGAGTGCCATTTGTGGCACTAAAAACTAGACATTCCCAGATTTCTAACGGTATAGAATGCACATTCCGGTTCCATTTAAGTGAGCCAAACCATTCATTTGAAATCCACTGTCCTGTTTCATTGCTTCCTGGAAAGCAGCACACGAGTTGCAAATTGATGCTCACGAATGAGCTGTTTATGGACAGATTTTGAAAAGGATTTTTTCTGAAAAAATATAACCTTATGCGTCTATTTTCTAACGCCACCAACCACGCTTAGTTCTGAGTCTAATTGAGTGATTTATGATTGAAATTCGAAACTAACTTTGTGAACAAAAACAGCGTTTTGGACAGATGAAACTAACTATGGTTTGGGACTTGTTATCCAAAGCTCCTTATTGTAAATCATCTATCGAATGTACCTTGAATATACTTCGGATATTTCCTACTGGAATGAACCATGTTGGAGATGTTCCTTGACCAAATGTTTGGAAATGGCAAAACGGAAGTTCAAATGCAGCTTAGCCTTACAATTTCTTGTGATTTCAACGGTTTTGTTAACCCACTTTCTGTGCTTATTTCTCCATGAAATTTGGTAGAGGAACAACCCTTATATGGTAGTATTATGTTGCTAATTTTGGTGTTATTCCGAGACCGTTTCATTTCTCAACTAAACTTCCAAAATTCGTGACTTGATTTTAGAAAATCCTTGTTTAACAAGGAAATTTGGATAACTTTGACCTACCATATCTTGGTGCTCGAAACTTCAATTCTCATTTCTCATTTCTCTTGTTTTGTTTAAAACCTGGATTATAACTCTAATAGAGTTCCAAATTTCAAAATCTAGTTCAAATTGAGTGAATTTTTGCCGAATTTCCAAAGTTGGCCAAAAATCAACCCCGAAAGCTATCTTCATGTTCAAAACAGCAACTTTGAACCAGTTTTTGAATACTTTCCGTCTGGAATCATGTGAAAGTGTATTCTTTGAACTTTTATTACCTTGAAAGAGGTTTCCAACGGTACCAAGTTTTCTAATTTTTGACTTGTAAAGTGTGAGATATGATTTTTCTAATATATCGTATCAAAATTGAAAATTTTCGAATATCAAGGAAATGGAGTTTTTCGAGTGCTCCTTATTCCTTCGATATTACTTGAATGTTTTATACTTGATTTCCAAGATGGAAACTAAATCTTTCTTGTACTTTGAAACCCCACTTGAGAGCTTTGATTTATGATAAATAAGGCTCGTTTCACGAGACTTTCTAAGATTGTACTATGGTACGATCTTCTTTAATAGTAGGGGCTTGTAAATGATAGTCTATTGTTAATTGCTCAGGCACACAAGAGGACCTTCAAGAGGATCCCACAGTGAACGCCTAAAGCTCCGAGGGACATTTCTTCCTCTTTTCTTATATTGGTGAGTGTCAAGTGTATGTATTATGTGATATATCTGCAAAGTGATAAGTGTTATATAAATTGAGATTTTGAAACCTTTGAGTCGAGTGTGTACTTTATCGCACTCGTCCTCATTTAAACAAAGTGAACTTGAGTTCGTGAAGTGAAGTGCTTACTTGTTTAAGTAACTTGTTAAGTGAATATATGTGAAGTGTTTAAGTGATTATTTATGCTGTGATTGCATAAGTCGTTGGAGTGAAACTCCTTGATACAAAAGTGTAAAAGTGGGGGACGCCCAAACTCTCTTAATGGCTAACCTTGGACTCGAGCCAGCATGGGTTTGGTCGAGCTCCTCAGTGAACCATGAGATTTCATAAGCTCGACCTATTGAGAGGTCTTGCTTGGCATACTCGCTGAAGTATCGCCTCATAAATGTATTGCGGGCTTGGTGTGGTATGTAAGGTTGAGAAAGGGAAGGGTAAGTGATGTTTCTACGGATTAAACCTACCCTGTTGACGGAGTGTCAACGCGTGGAGGTTCGTGATTGTGCAAGTGGAAAATAGCTCCTGAGAGCTCCCATATCCTTGAATTGTTTCTGTTTACTTTTCAGTAAAGTGCTCTTTATCGAATGGTTATTGTTTTAAATTGATTAATTTGAGATTGTTACTTGAACAATGTGCTTGCATGTGTGTTTTTGGCCTCACGAGCATTTTGCTCACCCTATAGATTTATTTTTTTTAACAGGTTTAGGCTTGGAATGAGATTCGGAGGAATTTCTCTTTTGTGTACTCATGTAATAGGGTTCCAACTCTTTTATCTAGACTTTTGGATATTGTATATTTTTGGGCTGTATTATAGAAACCCGATGTAAAGATTTGGTGATTGTTATCGACCGTTAAGTTTGAACGCTTCCGCACTATTTTTACGTATATGTTCTGGTTGTTGTCTTCTAATACCGCTATAAGGTTGAATAGAAATTGTTTGAGTCCTGGCGAGAGTTGAGCAGGCATCCCGCAGATACCCTTTGATTCACCTTAGGGAGAAGTGGGGGCATCACACTGACGTGTACCAGGAAGTACTAGATACCATGGCCCATGTGTTGGAGGAATTCGCAAACCTCATGCCTGCAGAGTTGTCAAGACAGCTGCCTCCTGGACGTGCTGTGGAGCACAGAATTGAACTGGTGCCAAACCTCTTGCCCAGGCTCCTTATCGTATGTTCCCGATGGATTTGGCAGAGTTGCGGCTTTAACTTAACGAGTTGCTGGATAGTCAAGCGCAGAAACTATTAAAGGCTCCGTACGGTACTCCAGTGTTGTTCCAAAAGAAAGCAGACAGAACATTGAGATTCTGTGTAGATTACCGTACCCTAAACAAGATCACGATCAGAAACAGGTACTCGATCCTGAATACGTATGACTTGTTCAATAGGCTAGCGAGAGCACGATTCTATACCAAAATCGACTTGCAGTCGGGACACTGGCAAGTCCGAATAGCCCCAGGAGATTAGAAAAAAATGACGGTGGTAACAAGGTATGGTTCCTTTGAATTTCTTGTTATGCCGTTCGGTTTGACGAATACACCTGCTATTTTTTGTAGACTGATGAATGATGTCTTGTACGATTATCTTGACAAGTTTGTTGTAGTGTACTTAGATGACATTATTGTATATTCAGAGTCCCTAGAGGAATATGTAGGGCACTTAAAAGACGTATTCTGTAAATTGAGGGAATATGAGCTCTTTGTAGAGAAAAAAGTATGAGTTTAGCAAGGAGCAAATCACTTTTCTTAGCCATGTGGTGAGCAATGGTCGGATCCAGATGGATCGCAAGAAGGTTGAGGCAATCCTTGATTGGCCTGCACCCCAGAAAGTCGCAGAACTAAGGTCATTCCTTGGTCTGGCAAATTATTATAGCCACTTCATCCAGGGATACTCAAAGATGGTAGTACCTTTGACGGACTTACTGAAAAAGGATAGACCATGGATGTGGGATTATGAATACAAGGATGCGTTCAAAATATTGAACGAAGCAGTCACTTCTGCGCCAGTGTTGCAACTTCCGGACTTCACAAAAGCCTTTGAAATGCACACTGATACTTCAGATCGTGTGATTGGAGGAGTGCTGATGTAGGATAAACACCAAATTGCATTTGAAAAGGAGTGCGAGTAGAGATATAGTATGCACGAGAAAGAAATGACGGCCGTAGTGCATTGCCTAGAGACATGGAAGCACTATCTGTTGGAAATCAAGTTCGTGGTGGTGACCGACATTGTGGCTAATACGTACTCCAAAACACAGAGGAAGTTGACCCCGAAGCAAGCTCGTTGACAAGAGTTTCTGGCCGAATTCAACTTTGATTGGATTCACAAGCTAGGAAGGGAGAACACGGTGGCCGACGCACTTAGGCAAAAGTACGTTGAGGACTACCTTGCTGCACTTAGCACTGTTGAAACGGACTTCTGGGACAAGATCAAGTCAGAGTCCCTGAATGATCCAATTTACCTGAGCATAATCACCCAAATCCGTGAGGGCAAAGTTCGTCATTACTGGCTTGAAGATGACTCACTCTTTGCCAAGAGTGGTAGAGCTTATGTCACAACAGTAGGGGGACTTAGGCGACAGTTGCTGCGACAGACCCATGACACTCCTTGGGCTGATCATTCCAGAGTGGAAAGAATGCGGGCATTGCTGTCGCGAAACTTCTACTGGCCAAAGACGAAAGAAGATATTGAGGCATACGTGAAAACATGTCTTGTGTGCCAACAAGATAAGGTGAAAAGAAAGAAGGAGCCAGGCTTGTTGTAGCCTTTGCCGATCTCTGATCAACCATGGCAATCGGTATCAATGGATATCATTTCGGAATTTCCTAAAGTCGATGGTATGTCTTCTATTCTTGTAATTGTTGATAGATTTTCTAAGTATACTGTGTTGGCTGATATTATCGCTGAATTACTTTTCAAACATATTGTGAAGTACTTCGGTTTATCCGAAGACATCATAAGTGACATGAATACCAGATTCATGAGGAGATTCTAGACAGTGCTATTTGGATTGCTGGGTTCCGAACTAAAATTCTCTACTGCCACACATCCTCAGATTGACGGATAAACGGAGAGGATCAATGCCTTGTTGGAGGAATACCTAAGGTATTACGTGACGGCAAGTCAGAAGAATTGGGTGGAGTTGCTTGATGCCACGCAATTTTGCTACAATCTACACAAGTCATCCGCAACCAAGTTGAGCCCGTTCGAGTTGGTAAACGGATAACTACCTCTGACTCCACATGAAATTGCACTTCGAGGCGGGAGTCATTGCCCAGCCACGCACCGGTTTGCTCGTACCAAGCCGAAACTAGTGGACGAAACAAGGGATAGCTTGCTGGTGATACAATAATGCATGAAAAAGTATGCTGACCAACATAGATGAGACTTAGAGTTTCAAATGGGAGATCAAGTGATGCTGAAATTGACTCCTCAGATTTGGAAGAAAGTAAGCAGTAAGACAGTCCATCGTGGGCTCATTCCTAAGTACGATGGACCGTTTGAAATAATCAAGAATGTGGGTCGTGTAACCTATCATTTAAAGCTACTTGACAGACTCAAAATCCACCCGACCTTCCTGTGAGCTTCCTGAAGCCCTTTAACCAAGGTGAGATAGATGGAGGATGAAGGCAAGCAAAGTGTGCTCCGCCGGTGATCCGCAAGCAATTCCAGAAAGACATGGAAGCTTTGCTGGACCATAAAACGATGGGGCAGAGCAAAAAGAATAGGCGGACAGACTACTTGATCCATTGGAAGGGCAAGACGGCACTAGACGCTACTTGGGAACGAGACGTGACCTTGTGACAGTTCGAGAATAAAATTGCCGAGTACCTGAAGAATGTTCGGAAGCAAACCAAGTTGACGAGGGCGTCAACTTCTTCAGGTAGAGATGGTTTGTTAGCCCCTTAAGGCACGGTCTGAACGGAACGGGCGCGGTCGTGGTAGATTTCGGCCGACCACGGCCTAGGTGGGAAAACCAAAGATAAACTTGGTTGGGAACGAGTGGACAACAGTTTGATGATATTTTCCTAACCTAAATATGGGTTTGGAAAAGTTTTAGAGGCAGCAGATGTCTCTGTGTTAGTGGGGGAAATAGGGGTGCCTCTACTAATAGTCCTAAATGAAAATTTAGGACATATATATAGAGAGATAACTGTGACTAAATCAAGTCAAAGTTAAGGGCTGGGGGCCAAGGGTACAGAACGACTAAGGCTTTGTAGGTTATTTTAGGTGGTTCCAAGTGCTAGGAACCACGGTGTCTACGTTGCTAAGTGTTAGGACAAAATGGGCGCGGAAGGTTGCCAACAGTGAGAAATTGGGCATGCAGAACCGTTCGGCCTTTGCCTGTGCACGCCAAAAATGAACGTTGGGTAGTTGCTGGTGGTTGTTGGGAAGAGTTGCTTTTGCATACTGTGATAGCCCCACCTTACCCTAAGGCAAACCAAAGGACTCGGCGGACCACCTGCCCAACTCTCGCCAGGACTACGGAAACGAATCTCACAAACCCTATATTCCGCGTGATAGAACTCTAAGAAAACGATTAATTGAAGACCACCACGCTCAAAAATAACTTATCAAATCCATAGGAGAGCAACATCTCAAATGAATACACTGAACAACCAAGGTTAAATACTTATTTACATCGGAGTCTTGAACAAATTAACTAAAATACAAGCCAAAGTATCCATACTGTTCAAAGTACAATTAGGGTTTCGGTCGCAAAAGAACTTAACAAAATAACATATATACTAGCTCGACCCTTTCTCAAAATCACGGTTCAAAGTGTGGTTCCTTGTAAGGAAAACAAAGATAACGAGGAAGGGATGTGTTTACGTTTAATGAGGTACTAAAATAATAGCAAGTAAGAATCACGGAACTTTATATTCAATTAGTCACATATGCAAATCAAATAAAGAAATGAACAAATACCATAGATAGAAAGGATACGGGTGGCTCTTATGAGCCAAATTTCCATTTGCTTTACCGAAACTTGATCAAGTAATAATTGACACTCCGTCAACTTTCCTAGTAAAATAACCAGTGCAATCCAATAGAGCACCATTTTACACCGAAATTCCGTTCACCAAACATGCCCCTTACCGGGCCCGAACACCTCAATAAAACACAGAAGTGGTAATACTCAAGTATACCGGAATCAAGGGTCTCAATATCCGAAAATTCCTAGAACAGACTACTATGGTCCGTTACCTAATCGACCAGGTCCTTGCCGGCTCGACTCAAGTAACTTAGCCATAGGATTTGAGCTCAAAGGTCACAGAAAGGTCGTTGGATACAAGCTTCCAAACGACGTCAGAACAGATACAGATAACATATTCAAATTCGCACAGTAAATTGGCATATGAACAGACAAGAGAACGAGTGTGATAAAGTACACCCTTGTCTCAAACAGAATAAACAGATAGTACAGTCATTCATATCACAGATTGCATGTACAGAAATCAAGTTAAACAACAAGTGAGAGGAGTGGTACACTCACTAATTCAAGTAAAACAAATTCAAACGTTCCCTCTAGAAGTACTTCCTGGATTACCAGCACGTCCTAAAATGATCAAAGTAAAACAATTATGGTTCCTATGGGAACGACATTCACAAATGAAACTCAACCATGAGTCGTATGGCTAACCAAATGAATTACAAATGTAAGGGTGCAAAAGCATGAATTTGGAACGAAAAGGTAACGAGAGGACCTAGGGCTTGAATGACCCAAAAGCTCTTCATTTCTATCAAAAGGCAACTCAAACTTAAAGGAACCAAACGGCCTAGAAAATTGGACAGCATCTCTCCTAAATCTGCTTACTTTTTCAGCCATCATGGCTTCATTTTTCCTCAAATCAGGCCCAATGTCACACACAAAATAATCTCATTTCAATAGCTGTTCAATAGGCTCAATGTCGTACCAGTACAAAATCAAGCTAGGAAAATGTCCGGAAATGAAGTTTAAGCAATAAAACAAAAGACAGATTTGAAGTCGCTTAGCGTATAGGACACAACCGAAGCTACGCTTATCGAATTCATGTGCAATTTATACCGTTTTGAAGCTAAGATAAAGGGTTACAATTTTGAAGAGGACCACTCAATCCAGTTCAAAGTGTATCCAGGTCAAATCTCAAATTACAGAACCAGCATCTCACAATCAGACTAGTTAACCGCACTATGATTAAACGACAACAACTTAGGCTACCAAAGTCCGATTGAGGTGTATCTTATGACGTTTCGAAGCCAAGACATATACCTACATTTCTTATGAAGGCCTCCAAAGCTAAATCATGCATTTTCATAGTTGAAAATTGAAATCTCTACGAAGACAGAAAACTGTCCACGAAACAGGGTTTTTGGGCAGTCAAGGGTATTTTTGTCATTTCATGAGCTACAGTGCTGTTATTGAGCTGAAATTTTGTAGCAGTTATAAAATATCATTCTCTACAACTTTTATGTTTTGTGCTAAGCCTAATTCGGCCTCTAACATTGTCAAACAAAACCGGGTAGAACAGGGTTACTTGAAACCTTAAACTGGAATTTCCGCACCAAATCAAAAATTTTCCGCAACCAATCATATCCAACATATACCAACTGCATTTTACACTATAATAAACCATCAATCCATGACTAAACAATAATTACTATAAAAAATAGAAAAATCCATAATAAATCAAAATTTCATCAAAACTCCACTTCCAATCATCAAACCTACTACAAATCAACATATTTAACCACAAAAGCCACTAATAAACCATTACTAAGAATAAATTATGAATTTGTACACACTATACCTTGATACCTCAAAAAAGGTAGTAGCTTAGGTTTCTTTCTCCCAAATTGACTCCACAACCACCTTGGAAACTATCTTGGCTAACACTTTTATGGAGTGATTAGAACTCTTGATGGTTAGAACTCAAAGATTGAGCAAGAAATTGAAGTGGAAAAAGGAAGGCTTCTCTTGTATTTTTGCTCCAAGAGATTCGGCAAAGGCAAGCTCAAAATGGGAGGAAATTGGTCAATTTTAAGGTTTAGTAAAGGTGATGAAAATTAGTCAAAGTTCAACTTACAATAGGGTCATGACACTTGGCA